ATAATTCTAGGCATAATAAAGCATGTTGATTGTTGAGTAACCTTGGTTTGGTGTGTCTTTGGTTATAGAGAGATATTATTGTGTTATACCGTAAAATAATATAAATAATAATTTGATATCCATACAGAGGAGGCATACTATAAAACAATAAGGCATCTTTGAGTAAACGTTGAGTATCATTAAGTATCTCGAGGCTGGGGGCAGCATGTCCTCTTTTTTGGAAATCAAAATATGNTCAAGGCTCTTTCTGCATGTCAGTCTTTATGCATGACGGTGTTTTTGATAATGGATCCTGACCACTCACATTTGTACACTGTGAACAAATTATATTATTAAACAAATATATAACATAAATACAAAAAATACTCTAATTTAGTCTCTTTTCCAGCGCTCTTCATCGGTAACTTTAGCATTTCTGAGTGTCCTTGAACGCATCAATATTAGCAGATGCGTCACACCAAGCCCGGGAGATTTATTCTGCTCTCACTACTGCTAGGTAAATTCATGTATCCATAAACACCTGAAGTTTAAAGTGTCAAATGAACTCTTTTTAAAAGTATAACACACCGTTTGAGTTTGTTCATAGACTGTTTATTGGCGTGAGAACTGATATTAATTTACACATTAAAGGAAACAGCTTCTTAGCAGCGTATCCAGTCTTAGCCCGTTAGCATTGCGCTAACGGGCTAACAGCTAGCAGCGTTGCGTTAGCCCGTTAGCATTGCGCTAACGCTGCTAGGCTGCTAGCTAAGTTAATCTCTCCCTAAACAGTTGAACTTTAAAGTGTCAAATTAACTATTTTTCAAAGTATAACACACCGTTTGAGTTTGTTCATAGACTGTTTACTGGCGTGACAACTGATATTAATTTACACATGGCATAGCATTGCGCTAACGGGCTAACGCTGCTAGGCTGCTAGCTAACTTAATCTCTCCCTAAACAGTTGAACTTTAAAGTGTCAAATTAACTCTTTTTCAAAGTATAACACACCGTTTGAGTTTGTTCATAGACTGTTTACTGGCGTGACAACTGATATTAATTTACACATTAAAGGAAACAGCTTATTAGCAGCCTATCCAGTCTTAGTCTTAGGCTGCTAGCTAACTTAATCTCTCCCTAAACAGTTGAACTTTAAAGTGTCAAATGAACAATAGTTTCATAGTTGTTTTATCACTTGTTCTTTCACAAAAATTACTTTATTTTTGTTCACCTTTTCACTTTGTGGTTTTACAGAATATATTTGTTAGTAATTGATTCAAACAGTTTTATATAGTTTTTTTCATGTATTGTTTGACAGATTTTCACTTGTGTTTTTACTGAATATAATTTGTTAGTAATTGATTTGAAACGTTTTATATAGTTTTTTTCCCCCATGTTCTGGTTTTTGAAAATAAAATTTGCCAAATGTTACTATTTCACCAGTTATTTTTGCATTTTCAACTTTTCCTACGAATAACATTCTACATTCAAAGCCTTACCTCTTTAACATTATTTATACATTTGGAGTTTCATGCTACTTTTTAACTTAATATTCATTCATATGGAAACCATAGGTCATCCAAATATTCCTGATTATTCACTTTCTTCTTACACATTATATTTCAGCATAAAGCATTCCCACTAGCAATTTCTTCAGGAATTGCATTCTCTAGTTAATGTTAAATGCTGTTAACAGCATTCCAACTCAATTATGTAACACAAGTACATTAGATTACATGTCACTTGTTAGTCGCTTTTATCCAAAGCGACTTGTGGGCAATCCCCACAGGAGCAATTTGGGGTGAAGTGTCTCAGGGAAACAAAGACATGCTGACTGCAGTGGGGTTTGAACCTGTGCTCCCCTGATCCGAACACCAACGCACTAATCCACTGCGCCACACACATTTTTACAATGGTGTAATATTGTGAATACTACATCTTCTGATGCCGACGCTCTGAAGACAGATCTCTAAAACATGATGCACTGTGCAGGTCTGCTTTACACACATACATAACATCAAGTAAATCTACTTTACCTTGGGGCTGGATTGTTCCTGTTTCATTGTCTTTTTCATGACCCGGAACTCGTACTCGGCTCGGTTGTGGTCCTGGAATGGAAATCAGTTTTAATGTTACAGTAACTGACACGTGTACAAAGCGATATACAGTAGAACGTTTGGAGACAGCCATGAAATGAACAGCCTGTGTGCATGAAGCAAAATTGTGTGTTTGAGTTAGACTTCTGTGCAAGGAAAGAGCAATGCATGGACCCACCATGAAAGGATTAGGAGTATGTGAAACTAAATGTTAGAATGACATAAAAACAGCCAGTCCAGTTTTTTTGCTAGTTTTGATGCATTTATGTTTATCCAAGCTTAATGCAATACAGCTACATGTGTGCTGTATTCCATCAAAACCTACCTCTGTCAGTATGTGTCTGTGATTGACATTTGAAACTGTCCTTTCTTAATCCAGCTGTTACCATTTGATTCACAAAGCTCCATGATATGGCAAGCTGAATTTTTGTTTTGATCAAATAATCCTTGCATGGTGAGGAATATCAGGTTAACATTTTATTTCCATGTAATATGCCGTCAGAAATGAATGTATATGCACCCATTTGTCACAGAGTAATACTTGTTGCATTAAGCCAAGAGGAATGAAGAGGTGCAGCGTACACAGAGGATACTGGTGGAACCCTTGGTTGGAAATAATTGCAAAACGTGGTTAGGCATAGTTATTGCATTGTTAAGGTTAGAACATGAGCGAAGATAGGCAAACAAAGACCCAAATGCAGACAAAAAGCAAATGTAAAGAGTGACTTCTTCAATAATTGGATTATTAAAAGGAACAATTGCTCTTCTATCATTTCATATTCAGTAGAAATGTAATCATTTTCTTCTTAGAGTCCTCATGACCATCATTACTGCAACTTAACCTGCATTAACAGATTTGTTGGCAACTCTTCCTCACTGTAACAAGAGCGTGTTAGCAAGCTGCTATTTACACACACAGCAGTAACTTGGAGTCATGTTTGGCCACCTGGCAAATATAAGTCAAAAATGCAGTCTCCTACCAGCCCTACAGGAGCTTCTGAAGCTGAGGTGATAATAATAACAGCAAGGTTATAACTCTTTGGGGTTTCATCACTACAGTATATATCACACCTTTCAAATGACACACTCATTACACCTCTGGAAATATAAAAGCGTGGACTTGTTATACTGTTTTAATATTGAACAAAAACCAGCTATCCTGTCTATTTGATCCCCTTTTGGTCCGGTTCCAGGTTGTGGATTTTTTCAGAAACATATTTCCAGGTATTTGTGAAGTTTATGGGTTTGACATACCACTGACTTCCCAGCCAACATGTCCATGTGGGCCCAATACAGGCTTAAAGTGGGCAGGAACTGTGAAAAGTATATGAGGCGCACATGGGTCAAATACCATCAGTGCTATCACTGCTATGAGCCCTACATGACTCTCTGGGCCTTTAGGACTTGTGAGAAGTAAAAGGAACAGATAGCCACTTCTTTCATTGGGCCATTACTCAACCATTTTGGATAACCAAGGCCTCACATAATTAAACCAACCGTATACATTCTGTTATGCCATTTGCATTTAAAGTGCTTCACAATGTTCAGATTGTATTGACCCAACAGGTTAGCCAGTTCTGTTCCTTTTTGTTTAAAAGTACAGAATGCCTATATTTCACACCACTTGTTCAAATGCATATTATTCCACGTTGGGAGTTTGTGTGCTACTTGTGGCTCCTATGGGCCCTGTATATCTCAAAAGAAAAGCAGAGGAGCAAGGAGGAGGACAGAGAGCTATGAGTCAAATAAATGGTCCTGTCATCTCTGCTGCTGTCAGGAGACAAACAACAGCAACAACAAAGTGTTGAGAGGCCACACTAACAAGAGGCTTCAGTATAAACCTCAGAGAGAAAGAGAAAAGCCGCAGTAAACCTTACACAGCAGATAAAAGAGTACAAAATGCCAAGGGAATACTCCTGAGGGAGATTGTTAGACACCTTGAGGGAGAACATGTTAGCGGCTGCAGGGTGGATCGTAAATGGTAGGTTAAAAAAAAGATAAGCAAGTCGGATTCCAAACCTTATGTTCCTCCTGTCAAATACAACACACACAAACACAAAAGGAACAAATGTCAATGATACAGGACATGACACTGACACAAACCTTTTAGAAGAAGGCTGTAGGACACTGCTTCATTTCCTTATTATATGAAAAGATAGTGAAGTGTGAGACTGTGGTGTGTGCGTGGGAAAATTACAGCTGAGGGCTGACTCACGACACAGGAACACAGACTCACACCCCCACCTCTCTGTCATCCATATTACTGTGTGACTTTGCAGTGACACATCTGTATTTATTGTCATGTTAATACAAGTGTCAGCACGAGTTGTTGTTTAAAAAGAGACTTAATTAAGTCCTGTTTTCTTAAAGGCTTTCATCTCTCCGTGCATTTTAAACACAAGGTCTTTATTGCATGTGGCAGGCTAGCCAAAAGAAAAACCTGACAGTTATGTTGCTTATTGTTTTGCTAACAAAAACATATGTGTACCTTGTGATAAGATTGGATGGTGATATGAAACAAATAAACTGTCAAACATTTTGCAGAGAAAACTATTCAAATTAGACTTAAAACTGGACCACCAACATCCTTTTTAAGTCATTTGCCTCTCTGGGCTTGCGCAGAAAACACAACTTATTATCTTAGCATTTCATTAAATACAGTAACATGTTAATTAACACGTTTTAGAGGCAGTGGTGTAAAGTAACTAAGTACATTTACTCAAGTAGTGTACTTGAGTACAATTTTGACAGACTTGTGCTTTACTGGAGTATTTCAATGTTCTTCGGCTCCTTGCCTTTCTACGATTCAGAGGTAAATAGTCTACTTTTAATTTTATCCAAAGCGACTTACAATTACAGGGACATTCTCCCTGGAGTAACTAAGGGCTAAATGCACACTGGTGGTGTTCCAGGCGGGATTTGAACTCACAACCTTCCGATCTTCAGCCCACCTCACTATCCATTAGACCACCACTACATTTATTTAATATTTTAGTATACTTCTACTTTTACTTAAGAACAAGATCTGAGCACTTCTCCCACCTCTGTTTAGAGGTGCCTGTTGCTGCTTATTTCCAGTCTTTCAGACACAAGAGTAATAACTCTCAGCAAAGAAACAAATCATAGGTTTTACCAGAATGTGAAACTATTGTTATCAAATATACTCCTGTGAAGGTATATCTTTAGACATTTGTATCCAAAAATAATTTGTAGCATTGTCTCACCTGCTCCTCTTCTCCGAAGCCCGTCAGGTCCCAGACATAGTTGAGCCGCATCTGTCGTCTCTTCCAGTGCTCCATGAAGAGAACCGCTACATAACCAAGCACACGCAGCAATATTAACACAGGCTCAATCAACATCTATATACATGCCCCTTATACCATCATCTATACATGACAATAAACAAACAATAAGGTTATTTTTTTGGATTCCTTCTGTAAAGATGTGCTGTATCTCCGTTGTTTCTTTTAGACTTTAATCTAAAAGGGTTAATTCGTTTTATGTTGATTATAATTGACATTGATAATGATTATTGTGACTAATCATCAGCTTGTATATAGTTAACCTCTATGCCTAGCTAGATAACCGAAGGCTAAAGCAGCGAGGAGACAGAGCCTTTGCTGTTGCAGCTCCAAGGTTATGGAACAAATTGCCCCTCCAGGTTAGACTTCCTCCAACTCTGCCTGTCTCGTTCAAAAACCCACTTCTTTTCCCTGGCATTTACAGGCTAGGTGACTCTTGTTTGTTTAAATGTGGGTTTTTACCTTACTAGTGTTTTGTATTGTTTTTACGTCATGTAGGAGAGTTTCTGTTGTGACTCGACAGTTATGTTAGGTTAAGTTATGTTTTTTACTCTAGTCTTGTGTTTTGATCTTGTCACTTCCTGTTTTTATTTTGAAAGTAATCCTTCCCTCTCATTCCAGGGGCCTCATTTATAAAGGGATATGCTCTCAAAAAATAGCGTACGGCAATTTCTACGCAATGTTTGCGATTTATAAAATACTAACTTGACGGGAAAATGTGCGGTCCTCCACGCAAACTCTAACCCATGCGTACGCACTAAGCACAAAAACGGGAGAGACGAAAAACTGCGACACCGTTGGCAGAAGGAAGAATGGAGAGAAATATGTGGAAATAATACCATAAATAAAATGTTACCTCTCATTTATCATATATGAAGAATTCATTTTCACAAATTGATTAAAGCCAATCTTAAAATGATTTAACAAACGTCTGTTTGAGACTCCTCAGTGCACACAAAAACATAACAAATAAATACGGATATGTTATTTAAAACCACCTCGAATATGTTGTGTTAATGTTGTGAAATGTTTTCTCATAAATGATGCGGTAAGCAGGAGGACAGAATTACGTCTAAACTGACGCCGTTTTGCATCTCTATAGGTTGTAGATACGAGCATGGTTTTATATACTATAATGTTTAATCATGTTTTATGCCGTTTGCTAAGACTTGATAAGTCGCTCATAAAACACAGGAGGTATGGAAACTAAGAACACCATATGTGGTAAATTGTACAGCTAATATAACACAACACATTGTATTTCCTTTAGACTGGTGGATATAGAGTTGCTGCAGTGGAGACGCTGCGCACAGCTGATCGGCAGCTGGGACACAAACCACCCAATACGAAAACATAATTCAGATCCAGTCGTGGTGACTCCACTCCGGAGGGATTCCCCGATCATTTCTTACCGTTTCTCATCAAGAGGGGGTCTCCTGTCCCCGGCACAAACACACTGCCTGAGGAAGGCTATGTGTATTTTTTTTGTCATGAACCTTTTTCGGACCACTTATTTATTTATTTTGGTGACGATCCGACTTCCATGCTGCTACTCTGGTTCAAACT